ACATTAGGGGTATTTACTGATTTAAAAAGACTGGCACAGGTGGAATCTGGCACATTGTGGGCACCTGATCGATATTTGCTGCACTAAGGGATAAGAGCCAGGGGCCTGCGATGCTGCCAATTGCAGTGTTTATTGAAGGACTGACATTCTTTTTTGCTCATGTTACAAACAAAGCCTCATTTTCAGGGTCTTTTAGTGTTTTTGTTTGTGTATTTCTCCTTTTCTTCCCTCCTTTTAGATTATTGATCACCTCCACTTGCACTGTTAGGAAATGACTTTTTTGCTTAGTATTCATTTTAGTGACACTCCCCGCTGCCCTCCCCTGCCTGCCACACACATGCACACGCAGCGTGAGAGAATGCTTCATGTTCCATGCCATTACTGCAATCTAAATATGACTATTTCGACTCAAAATCGACCAGTCGGGAAGTGTGTGTGTCAGTCTGTCTTATTCCGAATAGCCCATATCCCACTGTGATTTCTCAGCAAGACATCATAATTAGCCATAATTAGATAAAGTCTGAACATTCAACCTGTCCTAAAAACAAAAACTGGCGGTTTGCAATACACGAGATCTGCTGCAGCTGGAAGGAAGCTGCAGACTCCTCCAATGCAACGGTGAGCAAAGTTTCTGAAATGACAATGGGCCGATACTTTAAAAATAAATCTGTTTCGAATGAAAAGTAATTTAGGATTTAAGACTCCAGAAGTGATGCAAAAAGGAAGGGAAAGGCCTCGAGACACCTTTTGCTAAGTCGGAGTGACTGAATTCGTTTCCATCAGCTTGATCCTTTCCTGAAGGCAGCTGCGTAGTGCATCCAGTCACCCTCAAACGTTTCATCAATCTCCTGCCACAAAAATGAATCCGCGTTGCACGCAGACCCTCATCCTATGCCCCCTCAGCAAAAGCACCTGCCAGGCTGGGTTAGAAAGGAGTGACACGGCCGGCTGCAGATGGAAGTCCCCACTACGAGTGCCTAGTCTCCTCTTGGATGTGATGGTCTCGCATTCCCTCCAGCATAGATCTGTCACATCCTGTTGTCAGCGGTGGAGTGGGTGGGCAGATGTGTGCATGGCCCGACAGCAGAGATGCTGCGGCAGAACAGAGCATCTGCCTGGGGCACATTTCTGCACAAAGGCAGCATTCTACCAGCGACTGGAAGGTTGTTTAGGGAGTCACTGCTCCTAAGGTTCTAAACCCCATAAAAGCAGATTTCCGAAAACTTCTCTAAGATTGCCTTTCATGCTATAAGTTCCTTGAGGGTAGCTACATGCGCTGGCCCCAAGCCCAACCAGCCTAGCACCTGGTACATCAGGGCTGAATCAAGCATCTGGTACATCCATTGAAACCTCTGTGGCCCAACAGCAACAGTGCTTTTCTGTCCGGACAGGACTTATGAGAGTCTCCTGGGGCCCCTGTGCCTCCCTGCTCAGCACACACAGATCCAGGGTCGGAGAGTTGTGGTTTCAGATTCCAGCACAGCCACTCAGGCAAGCTCTAGCCTCTCCCAGGCTGGTGGGAAGGGCAGCGCTCACCTTTAGAGGTGGTTGTGCAGCACAGAGAGGCACGTGGATGCACCTGACACGCACCGGCACACTCCAGGTGTCCTGCTTACTACACTCTGTTTATCAGCAAGATCTTCAAAAAGACCAGCCATGTGGCATTTCAAAGACCATGGAGATCAGAAGCAGAGACCAGCCACTAGGGAGAGGGGCCTTCTCTGACTTCCGAGCACACAGGATTTCTGCTTCAGCTCAGCTCTCCAACAGCCTTCAAACTCCGTCTTGGGGTTACCTAGCCCACTCCCAGGGTTACCTGGCTCCCTCATGGGATCACCTAGTTCCCTCGTGGGGTCCCCCACCTCCTTTGTGGGGTCACCCCGCCACCTTGTGGGGTTCCCTAGCTCCCTTGTGAGGTCCCCAGCTTCCTTGTGGGGTCCCCTAGCTCCCTTGTGGGGTCCCCTAGCCCCCTTGTGGGGTTCACTAGCTCCCTCGTAGCCTTGTAGCTTCCTCGTGGGATCCTTTAGCCCCCTGTGGGGTTCCCTAGCTCCCTTGTGGGGTTCTCTAGCTCTCTCATGGGGTCCCCAGGCCCCCTTGTGGGGTCACCTAGCTCCCTTGTGGGGTGTTTTGGCCCTTTTATGGTATCACCTAGCTCTCAGCAGCATATCAGCCTTGCCTGGGACCACCAACCACCCTCCTGTGCTGGTTTGAAACCTGGGAGTCATCCTTGGTTGCCCTCCCTCCCCAAAGGCGGTCTATTCCCTCTTCTACACATGATTCCTTCTCTCTTCCCATGGCCATCCTCGGCTTGGTTCAGGCACCTTGCCCCCAGTCTGGCCTCCTCCCCCACTCCTCCATCTACGCTGAATTGCATATCTGTCCAAAGTCAGACAACTCTCCTTACCCAAGACCCTCCAGACACCCCTAGCCTCCTGGGTAGGGTCTATCCCTGACTTTAGCAGTACACCCATAGCCTCTGTCATCTGGTTTCCATGACCACTCTGACCTAGGTCCTCCCCACTCTCACCCCTCTGGCTTCCCTGGGCCCTCTCCTGCTTCTCTGCCATGAAACATGCAGGTCCCTCTGCCTAGAAGGCCTTCCTCCCTTCCCAGCCCCCTCTTCAGCTGAGCCACTCCTCTTCCTCCTTCCAGACCCAGCTCCTGCATCACCACCTTCAGGGGCTATCCCCAGCCTCTAGGGTTAAGGTTACAGCACCTGACTATCCTTCTCTCTACCCTGGATCACAGGGTGCTATTATCATCTGTTTACAAATCTGTCTTCCACATAGCCAGAGTGTTCCTCCAAGTCAGGGGCCATGCCCCATTCACCTCTGGGTCCCCCAAGGCTGGCACATGGTAGGTGGTCAGTGGCTAACTTGTGATGGGACTCAGGCTGTTGGACATTGGACATTAAGATGTGTGTCTAATGTCCATACTTTTGGCCTGGCCAGTAAAATAACGTTTCCTGCTCATGTGGAAGGACTGTTTCCAGCTTCATCTTTTCTCCCAGTCTGATGGCAGGAGTATGGACTGCAGAGTCAGATAGCTCCAGGTTCAGGTCCTGACTTTGCCAATTATTAGTAATGGGTTTTGGGCAAGACACTCAGGCTCTCTGAGCCTTAGTTTCCCCATGTACAAAACGGGGATGGTAATGCCTACCTCATAAAGGTCTGGTAGAAATTAAATGACACAATCCAACTGGACCTGGTAGAGGACCTGCATGTAGTAGACACATAAAAGTGGGAGCTGTCACTCAGGTGGGCTTTTTAGTAACATACAGTTAATTAAATAGAACAGGGCTGGATCCAGTAAGATGCTGTATCACATTAGCTACAGAAACAAGCCAGGTACAATGGAGGAAGCCCCTGGATAAAGACAAAAAGACCTCAGTCCCACCTCTGTCACCAAACTAATGTCCTCACTGGTTTTTAAAAAAGGGAGAGGCTAGGCATGGTGGCTCACACCTGTAATCTCAGCACTTTGGGAGGCCAAGTTGGGAGCCCAAGAGTTTGAGACCCAACCTGAGCAACACAGTGAGACCCCATTGCTTTAAAAAAAAAAAAAAAAAGCTGGGCAGGATAATATGCACCTACAGTCCCAGCTACTCAGGAAGCTGAAGCAGGAGGATCGCTTGAGGCTGGGAGGTCTAGGCTGCAGTGAGCTATGATCGCGCCAGTCAACTCCAGCCTGGGTGACAGAGGGACATCCTGTCTCAGATTTAAAAAGGGGGACAGCTTGGTTAAAATGGTAACCAGGTTAACTCCCAGCTCACATGTCCTCTAATTCTAAGTCTTTGACTCCACAGTTTCATGAACTGCCATGTGTAGCCTGAGGCACAACAAAGGTCACTAAGGAGAAATGTTCAGAAAACCTAAGTCTATGAAGGGCAAAAGCATTAGAAGGCCAGATTAGGTGACAAGTCCTTACCTACAACCTTTTCCTTCTGCAGGAGAAGGTGGCTTTCCTCCTGAAGTGGTCAGAGGCAATAATGCTTACCACAGCCTTTCTGTGAGTCCCAACAGTGCTGAGCATTCCAGTAATCACCGTGAATGGCCGGCAAGAGCTTATTTCTGAGAAATGCAGCCTTCTAGATGAGACTGTCAGGGAAATGGAGCCTTTAGACATTACAGTGTTTTCAAATATCATTATTACTGTTCTATAAATATCCCACGCCCACAGTATATCAGGTGCCACATGGGAAATATTGGATTCAGTTGGAGATTTTCTTAAAAGACACATAACAGTACCAGATGCCAGTCATCTTGGATAATATTTATGTACATGCTGCAGAAGCAAAGATTAGCTGTGTCAACATGTATAGAAAAATCCCACAAAACAGAGTCCATGGGATGGGTATTATCTGTACTTACGATCAAAAGCGTTTGTCGACTTTCTTCACTACAAGAGCCGTTTCACCCATAAACTACAGAACGGTTAGTGGAGCGGAAATGAATATGGTAATAACCAGGTGGGAATCATCAGAGACCCCTGCAATCTCCTGCTAGTTCAGAGGCTCCACAGCTGAAAAAAGCAGTTCCAGAACTGTGAACCACAGTTAACCCTTCCATTTACTTTGAAGGAAAGATATTTAAACATACTGTACTCCTTTTCAATGATCCTCACTGGCACACCAAAGGGGATATTGCTTGGAGAAAAAAATATTTTTTTGAAGACAGGCAAGAGGAAAAACGATTTCCACTAGTATGGTCCTAAGTGCAAAACTGTTCATGAGCACTGTGCAAATAACCAGCCAGTTGCTTCAGGTAGATGGGTGCTAGGAACTGAGTACACCTTCCACTCATATGTTGAAGGCCTCACCCACAATGCAATGGTATTGGAGAAGGGGTCTTTGGGAAGTTCTTAGGATTAGATGAGGTCATGAGTGTAGGGCCCTCATAGTGGGCTTGGCACCCTTATGAGAAGAGACAACAGAGCTCACGCTCTTTCTCTCTCTCTCTTTTTTTCCTCTCTCTCTCTCCCCCTCTCTCTCTCTCTGCCAGTGAGGGCACAGCAAGAAGGTGGCTGTCTGCAACTCGTTAGAGAGCCCTCAGCGAACCCAACCATGCTGGCACCACCCTGATCTCAAACTCCCAGCCTCCTGAAATGCCAGAAAATAAATGTGAGTTGTTTAAGCCACCCAGTCTAAGCTATTTTGTTATGACAGCCCGGTCTAATACAATAGGATTCTTTTCCTCTGAGCTTTCATCAAAATTCGAAACCACATTAAGCAAAGAGACATTCTAGGTGGCTGATTCTTGGTAGAGTTTGTAGCTGAGGACTGAAAGGACATGTGACTATCTCTTAGGGGATTAATCCTAAGCTAAAAATATGAAATTGTCCAACTATTTGGAGAACTGAGCAGTACTAAACAGACTAATGCCAGCAAATGCTTTGAAATCCAGTAGCAATATTGTGGAGCTCAGGCGGGTGGAGTGGGGAGAGAAGGAACAACTTAGTTTATTGTGAATTGCATTTCTCTTTACTGTGCAGTTTTATTTTTAATTGCAAAGTGTCTGGTTGAGCAGTTATTACTGAAATTTATTTTTGTAATAAAAGCTCTTTGTTAAGTCACAGTTTTATGAACAGTGACTAGAACCAGATTTTGCCATAATAAATATGATACCAGAGTGCTTTTAAATTTGAAAAAGCTTTACAGCTCACCCCAAATATTAATGTAAAATGTTGGGCAGAAATAACAGTGACCTGACAGGATTGTACAAGAACTCACCAGGTGCTTGTACTGAGCAGGCTGAGGGTTTGTCTGGCCTCACTGGCCTGGTGTTCTGGATTTAATTTGATCCCCAAATAGCTGTGTGGCCTGGAACAGGTCCCTTTCCCTCTCTGGGCTTTAGTTTCCTCATGCAGTAAAAACAACACAAAGCGAAAACAAACAAGACAAGAAGGCTGACTCTGCTCTGACGTGAATCTCAGGAACATGGCTCCACTCAAGAGAAGGCAGCTCTGAAAGGTGAACTCCCAGACTGGGCAGAAAATGAAGGGTTGGGGCAGAAGTGAAGCATGAAAACCCCTTGCCCAGGTGTGGAAGGCCCATTGAGTCACACTGACTCTTCCAGCCGTAAACCTCTGTGGCCAGTGGTGCCTCTGCTCAGGCTTCACTGGGCTCTGGGCTGGCTGCTAGACTCCCTCCGCCCACCCGGTCTGGTGAGCCCTGCTCGGCTCCCACTACTGGACCAGAACCCATGCCCCTGGCTCTGCACTCAGCCTGCAACTGGTCCTGGCATGCCACCCTGAACAGCCCCCTCGTTGGGGCCGGTGTCAAGACAAAGGGGACACAGCAGTGCCTCAAAACTTGCAGACAGCAGCAACGTGGAGTCCCAAGGGATAAGGCTCTTACCTAGGGAGTCTGGAGGCCTGAACCCCAAGGACTGTTACAGCTCTCTCTCCTTCCCACCCCTGCAGGGCAGCGAACGGTGGTGGGGGGTTATGAGGGGCGTGTTAAACAGGGGGTGTGTTACAGCTTGTTCATTCCCGCCATCTGCATGCTTTGGCAAACAATGGCATGTCACAGCTTATTTGGTCCCTCTGCCCCACTCTGGCCCAGGACTCCTGGGCTGGCCTGGTCCCACTGACACTTCCATCATGTGGGGTGGTCACCCTGAGCTGGCAGAGGCGGGAAGGCTACAGTGTTACAGCTCCTTTCCCACCCCTGTTAGCAGGTCCTGCGTTTCTTGGATGTCCCACATCCAAGAAGAGTGAGGGTTATGCGGACAACTGGAGAGTGAGCAAGGTGGAGAAGAGTTTTATTGAGTGACAGAACAGCTCCCAACACGGGAGGGGACCCGAAGTGAGTAGCCCCTACCTGAAGGTGGGTAGTCCCAAGGTGTGGCTAAGTCGGGGGTTTTATGGGCTCAGAATGGGGGAGTGCCTGCTGATTGGTCCATGGGCAGACCTGGAAGAAGCACCATTGGACTGACTAAAAGGCATCAAGGAAGTTCGTAGTCTGGGTTGTGGACTCTGCCTGGAACTGGCAGCCCAGTTTTCAGGCTTTAAGCTGTGTTTAACCTGAAGGTCAGGTTTCACTGGGGACCCAACCCATCTGCCTAGGAATCTGTCTGTCTCTGGCTGCTGTCAACATGATTGCCCTTTGTAGATGCCCAGCTCCAGCCCTCACATGGTGCTGGTGGCCATGCATATCCAAGGCCGTACATGAGAAACTCCAGGCACAGGAGGAAGGCCCCAGACCTAGGTACCCACAAGGGAGCTTCACGCAAAGGCTTGGCTCCTGCAAGTGTGTTGCTGGAAAAGATGAGGTGTCCCCTGGGTGCAGGAGCAAGAGTACTTATGAAACTCTTGTCCCAACACAGCGCTTTAACAAGGTCTCTTATTTCCGAGCTCAGCTCAAGATGCGTCTTCACCAGCTTTCCAGAAATTGTTCTGGGATCCCCAGGGGAAGGAGGCCTTCACTCAAAAGCAAACAGCTTTTGACCATTTGAAAGTGCATTAAAAATATATTTTGAAGCAGGGAGCACAATAAACGTGGCATCATAGAAGATACATTTGAAAGGAAATTCAGGTACGCATTTGAAAAGAAAGGAAGCCGCAGTGCTGGTCCAGAACAAAGCAGAGACAACATCGAAGGAGCACATGTTCAAGACATGTCTTGTCAGTGGAGTCTCACTTTTAGAAACACAACAAAGCACTCTGGATTCTGAAGGGGCTGATGTCATCACCAAGACCCACCATTCCCAGTGGAGGCTGAGACTAGCCATACAGGTGAGGGGGCCTCTCAGAGGCTTCCCCTGCGGGCTGTGAGGGCTGGAGGCGGAGTTGCACAGTGGAGGGGGAGGTCCTCCAGCCCCGCCTGCTCGGCAACACCAATGTAAGTATTTGCACGTTGGGGCAGGTGCGACCTTGGATCCTGTGGGGCTGCAGGACAAACCCATCTTCATCATCATCACCGCAAGCTCATGTTGAGTGCTGATCTTGTGAGAGGCAGTGTTTGCAACTTTCCATCTTTCATAGGCATCTGATTCCGTCCTGACAGCAGCCCTATGTGTGTCAGTGCTGTTCTTGCCCTTTTTTTACAGAGGAGAAAATGGAGGCATAGAGAAGGGAAGCAGCTTGCTCAGGGTCATGCGCTCAGGACTCGGGAGTGGGAGGGGAGTTGAGATGCAGGCAAGAGGAATCAATAGAGGGGGCGTTCTTGTTAACAGAGCATTAATCTAAACATTGGACCTTAGGAGCATCTATTAATCCCTAGAAGGGTACAGGCCTGGGGATGCTCATCCAATGCCTGGGAGCTGGGGAGGTTGATGCAAATCAGGATCATTTAAATAATGTTCAGAAACAGGAGAAAGGGCAGAGGGTATGGGGGGACTCTTTGGTTTTTCTGCTTAAGGAACATCTGCATGGCCCCACAGTTTATAGATGAGGAAACTAAGTCCAGAGGAACTTAACAACTTGGCCAGGGCCCCATGGTTAGTCCAGAGCTGGGACTTGAACTCAGGTCTTCAGGGAGCTAGCTTTGCCCATAGATGTTTAAGAACTGTCAGAGTCTCTCTTACTCAGACTCCAGGAACTGGGGCCCTAGAGGTGAAGGCTCTAGCTGTGGGCACAGCTGACCAGAGCCATAGCCAGGGCTCTCTGTCACCTCCCACCTGGCTTCTTCGTCCCACATGGTTCTTATGCCCCCAGCTACAAGGCAAGAGCCTTGTAGCTGCCTCTTCTGCCTGGCTCAGGAAGGGTAGGCATAATTCAGGAGCGTAAATCTGGCTTTTGAATAACCTTTGATACCGCCCATTGAGAAAATGAGCATCCACACCGGGGAAATGAAATGAACGCACTGCTCAAAAGACTTTGAGTGGGGAAGGCTCTTGATCAGATAGATCTGGGAATGCAGCCAGGAGAAAATGACTTCTACTCCTGCTGGGAGGCAGGGACAGTGACCTGGTTAGAGAAGACTTTGGTTAGAGACGGTCCTGACTGTCCCCTCTGGAAGGGACTCCTGCCACCTCTTTCTCTCCTATGACCACGTTATCCACAATTCTTTAAGACCTCTCATTGTTCTTCCTTAAAATGAAAGGGGTGGTCCCTCCACTGGGGGTGGATAAACTGGGTATATCCTGACAACGGGGTCAGCTTGACAACGGCAATGGAAGGGAGGAAGCTCCCTGCAAGCGCAACAGTAGTGAAGCTCAAAAGCACGGTGCTGAGTGAAAGAAGAAGGCTTGGAAGGCACGTGCAACAAGACTCCATGTCTATGACACCCTGAAAGAAACAAACCACAGGGCTAGAGATGGAGAGACCAGTGTGGCCAGGGCGGGGAGCAGGGAAAGGAATCAACTGCAAAGGGCCTGAGGGAATCTGGGGTGATAGAAATGTTCTGTATTTTGTGGGGTGATGGAAACACTTTGTGTAAACTTCTCAAACCGTGTTAAATGAATTTTACTGTATGTGAATGATGCCTCAATACAGTCAATTGAGAATCACTGGGGAAAGAGAAAGGAAGGTGGCAGCCACCAGCTCTGCCGATGCTGCGTCCCAGGCCCTGCCTTAATGGTCACGTGCGAAGGGCCCCTTCAGTGTCTTCTGGGGCGGCCCAGTGCCACGAGGCACTCCCACTTCGGTGTGAGGGGATGGGCCCAGAGACAGCTCCACCAGGAGGGGCACCTCCAGCCACAGCTCCCACGGATCACATGGACAGCCGGTCCTGGCCTCCTTCCAGCAGACACCCTCCTGGCTGGGTTCTGGAAGACTGCCGCTTCCTTTGTCCCAGCCCTCACCAAGACTGAGCCCTCCCTGGGTGCAAGCTCTGTGAGGCGCTGGGGACAGGGGCTCACACTCTGGTGGGGTGGCAGAACCAGCTGCAGACAATTAGGACAGACGACACAGAGAGAACCATGCAGCTACAGAAGCCTGAGAAGGGGCTGACCCTCGTTGGAGATCAGAGAGGCTTTCTGGAGGAGGTAGCATTCCAGCTCAGCTGGGACATGGGTGAGGAGGAGTTGGCCAGTGATAGACAGAAGCTGGCACCAGCCAGGGGAGGCATGAAGCAGCTTGGCCTCGGGAAGGGAGGTGGGGGCGGGCTGCAGCAATGCGCTCTTCCTGGAAAATTACGTGTGTGACGGCTGGTAAGCGCCCTCTTGGTCTTGAAGTCTGGCGAGGCTCTTTGGCTCTGCACCCCGCTGAGGTAATGGTGCGGGCCCCAGG